TTTATTTGTCATCTAGATTTATCTGAGTTTGTCAAGATCCTTCATGTCTTTTATTATTTTTGCTTGCGATCCATCTTGAACTTTTATCCATACTTTTCCATTTCTTGTCCATGTAGAAAATACTTTGTTTTGTTTTTTTAATAACCGTGCTTCACGTGCCAGATTTCCATTTCTTTTTGTTAAATGTTCATTTATATACACTTTTGTTCCCTTGAGTTTTTTTGCCTGCATTATTACCTTATTTCTTAATTTCCTGCTAATGAATTTCAAAACAATAACCGGTTTAGACTTATCAATTTTGCTGGGCAGGGTGTGACACAAAGAGATGTCTTCATGATGTATGTCAATCTTCTTATCTTGCAAAAAGGAGATCACCCGCTCTTCTAATGTTAGTTGCTCCTGTGGAGATGAATCTTCAGTAGTTTCCTTCCCAGAAGTAGTGCTTGCATATGTACGTTTTATCTCTAATCCAGTTATAAGAAGATTGTCTTGTCTTGAAATCTGTTCCAAGTCATCTAATTTTTCTTCAAGTTCCATTATTTTTTTATCCTTGAGATTTATTTGTAGTTTTAATTGTTTCACTTCCTCAAACAACCCAATCAGAAGTTTCTGCTGGGATGTTAAATTTGCGAGTTCAGCACTCATGAAGCTCAAGGATTTTTTTATCTCCTCAATATCGTCTGAGCTTGGTTCCAGGAAATCATGTTTTTTTACTTTGGATTTGGCCATAATTTACTCACTTCCACCTGCCCGATGGCAGCGGTCCGACAATTTGTTAGCCCAGAGCCGCCCTCCACCACCACAGACCAGCAGACGCCGGAAGTCGGACTCTTGGAGACCAGATCCCGTAGCTCCAGACGCTCCAAGAACCACGGCAGCAGATCGGCCCTCACAGGAACAAAGATCCAACGGCAATATCCTCCCGCACTGCCGCACCTCGTCCCAGCAGCTGCAGCCCATCGGCTCGACAGCCGAAAGCCGACACTAGCTACGGGGTCCACCCGCCTCCTGAACGCAGTCCGCCACCTGGCCGCTACCCAGCGGCCAACGCCCCAATATTAAAGAACAGTTTCTTAGATGACAACTTTTCTGTTTAGTTTTGAAAGGTTTATGTTGTGCCAGTTCAGTCTAGTCCAGGACTATTCAACAAAACTGATCAGGCCCTGGACATCCAGTGAACATTCACTATTACATAAATAAACTAAGTATTGATCTGTTACCTTTTAAATTTGTATATTTTTTATGAAGTCATTGGTGGGTCAGATTGAAGTCAGTTGGAATAACCCTGGTCTAGTCCATCCATTATCTTTTATCCACTTCTTTATTGGATCACAGGTGCTCATATCCAGCAGTCACTGTGCGAGAATGAGAGGGTGGCCTCCCTCCGCCTACGTGTGGGGGGACGGGTTCTGACTGTCGTTTGTGCTTATGCACCAAACGGCAGTTCAGATTATCCACCCTTTCTGGAGTCCTTGGAGGGGGTACTGGAAAGTGCACCTTCTGGGGACTCCCTTGTTCTGCTGGGGGACTTCAATGCTCATGTGGGCAATGACAGTGAGACCTGGAGGGGTGTGGTTGGGAGGAACAGCCCCCCTGATCTGAACCAGAGTGATGTTCTGTTGTTGGACTTCTGTGCTCGTCATGGATTGTCAATAACGAACACCTTGTTCAAGCATAAGGGTGTCCATATGTGCTCTTGGCACCAGGACACCCTAGGCCGCAGTTCGATGATTGACTTTGTCATCATCTCATCTGATCTGCGGCCACATGTCTTGGACACTCGTGTGAAGAGAGGGGCGGAGCTGTTAACTGATCACTACCTGGTGGTAAGTTGGCTCCGATGGTGGGGGAGGATGCCGGTCAGACCTGGCAGACCCAAACGTATTGTGAGGGTTTGCTGGGAACGTCTGGCAGAGTATCCTGTGAGACGGAGTTTCAACTCCAACCTCCGGGAGACCTTTGAACATGTTCCGAGGGAGGTGGGGGACATTGAGTCTGAGTGGACCATGTTTCGTGCCTCTATTGTCGAGGCGGCTTACCAGAGCTGCGGCCGCAAGGTTGTCGGTGCCTGTCGCGGCGGCAACCCTCAAACCCGATGGTGGACACCGTTGGTGAGGGATGCTGTCAGGCTGAAGAAGGAGTCCTATCAGGCCTTTTTGGCCTGTGGGACCCCAGAAGCAGCTGATGGGTACCGGCAGTCCAAGCGACATGCGGCTCGGGTGGTTGCTGAGGCAAAAACTCGGGCATGGGAGGAGTTCGGAGAGGCCATGGAGAACGACTTCCGCACGGCTTCGAGACGATTCTGGTCCACCATCCGGCGTCTCAGGGGGGAAAGCGGTACGCCACCAACACTGTTTATAGTGGGAGTGGTGTGCTGCTGACCTCAACTCGGGATGTTGTGGGTCGGTGGGCGGAATACTTTGAAGACCTCCTCAATCCCACCGGCACGTCTTCCACTGAGGAAGCGGAACCTGAGGACTCTGGGTCGGGCCCTCCAATCTCTGGTGCTGAGGTCACCGAGGTGGTTAAAAAGCTCCTCGGTGGCAGGGCCCCAGGGGTGGATGAGATTCGCCCGGAGATCCTTAAGGCTCTGGATGTTGTAGGGTTGTGTTGGCTTATGCGACTCTGCAATATTGCGTGGACATCGGGGGAAGTTCCCCTGGATTGGCAGACCGGGGTGGTGGTCCCCCTATTCAAAAAGGGGGACCGTAGAGTGTGTTCCAACTACAGGGGAATCACGCTCTTAAGCCTCCCTGGTAAGGTCTATTAAGGGGTTCTGGAGAGGAGGGTCCGTCGGATAGTCGAACCTCGGATTCAGGAGGAACAGTGCGGTTTTTGTCCTGGCCGTGGAAAACTGGACCAGCTCTACACTCTCAGCAGGGTCCTGGAGGGTGCGTGGGAGTTTGCCCAACCAGTCTACATGTGCTTTGTGGACTTGGAGAAGGCGTTCGACCGCGTCCCTTGGGGAGTCCTGTGGGGGGTACTCTGGGAGTATGGGGTACCGGGCCCTTTGATACGGGCTGTTGGGTCCCTGTATGACCGATGTCAGAGCCTGGTCCACATCGCCGGCAGTAAGTCGGGCTTGTTCCCGGTGAGAGTTGGACTCCGCCAAGGTTGCCCTTTGTCACCGATTCTGTTCATAACCTTTATGGACAGAATTTCTAGGCGCAGCCAAGGTGTTGAGGGGATCCGTTTTGGTGGCCTTAGGATTGCAACTCTGCTTTTTGCAGATGATGTGGTCTTATTGGCTTCATCAGATCGTGATCTACAGCTTTCGCTGGAGTGGTTCGCAGCCGAATGCGACGCGGCCGGGATGAAGATCAGTTCCTCCAAATCCGAAGCCATGGTCTTGAGACGGAAAAGGGTAGAGTGCCCTCTCCGGGTCAGGGAGGAGGTCCTATCCCAAGTGGAGGAGTTCAAGTATCTTGGGGTCTTGTTCACGAATGAGGGAAAAATGGAGCGTGAGATCGATAGGCGGATAGGTGCATCATCTGCAGTGAAGCGGGCGCTGTACAGGTCTGTCGTGGTGAAGAGAGAGCTGAGTCAAAAAGCGAAGCTCTCAATTTACCGATCGATCTACGTTCCCACCCTCATCTATGGTCACGAGCTTTGGGTTGTGACCGAAAGAATGAGATCTCGGATACAAGCGGCCGAAATGAGTTTTCTCCGCAGGGTGTCTGGGCTCTCCCTTAGAGACAGGGTGAGGAGCTCGATCATCCGGGAGGGACTCAGAGTAGAGCCGCTGCTTCTCCACGTCGAGAGGAGCCAGTTGAGGTGGCTTGGGCATCTGTTTAGGATGCCTTCTGGACGCCTCCCTGGTGAGGTGTTCCGGACACGTCCCACCGGAAGGAGGCCCAGAGGAAGACCCAGGACACGCTGGAGGGACTATGTTTCTCGGCTGGCCTGGGAACGCCTCGGGATTCCCCCGGAAGAGCTGGCCCAAGTGGCTGGGGAGAGGGAAGTCTGGGCCTCCCTACTTAGGCTGCTACCCCCGCGACCCGACCCCGGATAAGCGGAAGAAAATGGATGGATGGATGGATGGATGGACATT